AGTATCCGACTATCTGTTAGTAATCAACTACCCTTTCCAACACTAGTCTGACATACCTACATTATAGTCTATGGGGACAATTACCCCCACGAGGCCATTAAAAAAAAAATTAAAACATAATGTTTACCCTTCAAAAAAATGAAATTACCTCGCATTTCAAAGGAGGAAAAAATCCCTCCTTGAAAAATTTCATTTATCAACTCCAATCTCATTTATATGTTATAATTTTAAATGATGAAAGTTTGAGAATGGAAGGGGCAACAATTTAAAAAATAACTTTCCTTGTTTGTTTTCTTACTCCTATGTCAAAGAGATTATTTAAATATTTAATAAGAGGATATAGATATAATTTAGTAACCGCTCCCTCCATCTAATTTTATAAAAAAATTTTAGTGATTTGACATTTTATAATACAAAATGTATTAAAAAAATATGAAAAAAAATCCACCGAGCACCCCTTGATCAAATTTATCCATGAATTTTTTATGTCACTAAAAGTCAAAGCTACTGATTTAATATTAAATTTTATAAAAAATTACAATATTATCCTGAATGAAAAAAGATGGATGTAGATGAACGACAATCTAGAAGATGGACAACTTATATAATGACATTAGAGATTACAAACACCTTCGTCATCAGAGATGAATCCCTTGAAGACATGAGGTGTTTGAAGATTAGTGACACCTCCGTCGATTGAAACGAATCTCTCCATAACTTGAACTAAATGATAAACTTTAATATATAATTAATTACAAGTGAGATTTATTCATCATTTTTACAAATCTTAAAATACAAAAAAGTATAAATAGAGATCCGAATTTCTTCAGGACTTGAACTAGGGTATCTAAAAATCAACGATACCTTCATTGTCAGAGTTTCTGCCCAAGAATCATTTGACGAAAGAAGAACCATGGGTAATGTGCAAACAACTACAACCAATTCAAGACGAAGAAAACACACCTATCACACCAGTATGTCATCATACCCTAAAGTTTTTATCATATTGGTGGCTTCCCAGTCTTCATCAACCTCTGCCCCAATGGTATGTTGTTTTAATACCAATGTGAGTGATTCCTACCCTGATGGTTCTTAGATATCAGTAAGTCTCCTCTTTTCTCCTTAATTGTTCACACTAGTGTGTATCAATTCTAGTAGTATGAGTGTTGGTTTTATATTTAAATGACTTGTTTGTCACTTTATGTCAATTATTAATTCTCCTGTTGTACTTATTCGTTATAACAGTAACTTGAAAAAAATGCAACCTCTAATTGTGGATCTCTTATTAGCTTCCAATTGTGATATGTTTTATATAATGCAACAATTCCATTCCAAAGAAATGAACATTGAACAAAATTTAGTAGGGGAATAAACAAAATTTGTCTATGGTCTAATGAAATTTTAGTTCATTTATTCTTGTTTTTTTCATCTTTCTCATAATCCTCTATTCTAGATTGAAATAGAAGAGAAATGATAAAAGCATAGAGACGAGGTGGTCACTCTTGTTATTGTTTTTGAATTGGGAGCTTCGTTGTTTGACTAACGATTTGGACAACTTGTTTAAAGAAGATGTGTTTGTATTATAGTTGAGCCAACGGATAGTTTTTTTTTTTCCCTTACAATAAGAGACAATATTATCATTTAGTTATGAATTTAATATCAAATGATTGCTCTTGCCTTACAGTGACATATCATGAATTTTGAATTTTTTTAATATTTATGGTGAACGGATTTTCAGTAAAATAATTTCAAAAATATGACTTCATAATGGAGAACTACAGTAAATGCATTGTTGAACTTAGTAGATGCAGACACCTTTATTTGGTGGCGATTGCATCGTGAGGTCATGCATTGTCCCCTTCCCCCTCTCTCGTGGTTACAAATACGTGGCATTCTAAAAGACCGAAAAAATGGGACATTTTTTAAATGGTTGTCTAAGCTCTAATCTTTGCGGATCTTGAATTTATTGAAATTTCATGGGTCAAAAACCTATCTGCTATCTGCCTTTTCATCATAAGTCTATCAGGGAAGGCTGTACTTGCATTATAGCATATGAGAACGATTCGCCTTACAGGATGTGAAAAAATAAATAAAAAATGTAATCAGGAGAATATCATTTAAAAACTCTTAATATCAAATAGGGATAAATATTAATAATTAATAAATGAATTTTAAATTGTAATGAGTATTATATCCATCCAAGTCATTATTTGATATTAATTTTTTAAAAAAATCCTTAATTAATATTCTCCCAAAATAATCCAGCACATCCTCTTTGTTCTTGTCAGAAAATTACAATTGCCGTTCTCTCCGTACAGAGAGACACGCAAGAGCTGTTTGGTTTTTATTCTCTCTTTTATTTTAAAACTGTTTTACAATACCGTTTTTTAAATTATTTCTTCAAAATGAAAAATAATTGCTTATATGTGTTGATTTAAAAACAATTTTAGAATTGAAAAGTTGGTTGATAGTAATAGTTATCTGCAATTAATTGTAATAGCTTGTGATAACTATTGGTTAAGGATTATAGTTTTCAATAATTAAATGTAATGTATTTTAAACATAAAAAATAAAATAAAAACAGATTTAAGATTTTTCTATTTTTTTTTTTAATAGTTTTGTAAATAATTATATTCAAAATACTCATCTAAACAATTTTTTAAATTTTTTGTTAAAAATTATTTTTTGAATAGAGAAACCAAACAAACCTTAGCTCTCTTCCTTTTTAGAACTTTAAATTCCACACTACCGTTTTCAAATTTTGAACATTAACCCCCTAATGTTAAAATATCAATTAAATTAAATGGAATTTATGACACATTAACCTAATTAAGATTATTTGGCGAATGAAACGAAAGTTTTTGTATTTCTTTAATTTATTTAAACTCAAAACATAACTGGGATCGGGTAGAATGTAAGCATGTAAAGCAAAAATTTCATAGAGGAAAAAAAAAATACCGTAAACTGATTTCAAGACGATGGAAATGTCACGCAGATCCATGAAATTTAAAAGCAAGTTAACTTTTCGTTCCAAAAATAAAAGCAAGTTAACTTAAATGGCATTTCAGAAGCAAGAGTAGACATCATATTGCAGAATAGAATTGAGAGGACATCTGAACATGCTACAAGCTGCAAGGCGGAGACGCTAATACTTGATGACAAAATTACCCTTCCATTAAAGTTGTGTTTTAAGTAAGTACAGTAAAATTAATTAATATAACACCAACAATTTCATGTCATTTGTCAAGTAATCTTAATTAAGCTGATGTGACATAAATTTTGTTATATTCAACTGTCATTTTAATGATAAAAAAATTATGGCGAAGCTTAAAAAAATGAAGGGTTGGATTTAAACTTTCAAAAATAAAAGAAGTTATATACAATTGACTTAAATTTGAGAAGAGTTACAATGTTTTGGTAAAAAAAAAAAAAACTAAAAACATCCCTATTTGAATAAAAAAAAGGATTAATGAAGATCTTAAACTCTAAATTATTGTGTGTATAGCATCATAGACTTTGAACTCTTCAAATATGCAAAAAAAATTTTAATTTTTAAATTTCAAACACCTGAAACCTCAATGTTAAATTAAAGAAAACAGTCATTATTTTTTTAGTTGTGGGGTTTAGTCACCCATTGATATGATACTCATCCTGATTTTAAAGATAATAGTCATTTTTTTCAATTTAACGACAGAGTTTTAGACACTTGAAATATAAAAGTTGAGAAAAGTTTTTACATATTTTAAAAATTAAAAGTCTATAATTCTATTTACATAATAATTTAGAATATAGGATGCTCATTAATACTAAAACATATAATTGTTTATGCTTTCATGCATTTTCACAATTATTTAAAGTGCATGTATAATTTTATTTTACACTTTCTAAATACCATTACTGTTTATAAAATTATCAAGCTAATGTTTATTCAATATTTAACTTAGGATAAATGAGAAAATTGGTTCCTACACTACATATCCAAAAGCATTTGGGACCCACAACTTGTCTTTTGTGTAATATTTTTCTTCAACGTTTAAAAACAGTGCGATCTTATCTAAAATTACAGCAAAGGGTTCAAAAATTATAGACAAGGGTCCAAGATTATAGAAAACAGACAAAAAATTTTTTTGGTTATTTTACATAACTTTTGAGATCATTTTTTAGTTAACTACCACTCAAACTTGGAGAGAAAATTGATTGAATCGAACATATTAGTTTTTATCTTATTTTTATTTTTAATTTTTAATTTATATTTTTGAAATATAATTTATACATATTTATATCCAATAAGCATTATGAAATGAAGAAATATAAAAAAAAATGTATGAGTTATGTATATATGTATATATTTTAAATTTATGAATTAGAAATTATCAACTAAGTATATATTTTGGAAGAAAATAATTTAATATTGATGGATATTATTTTTTATTGTATATTATTTTGTTTGAAATTTCATCAATAATTTTTGTTATTATATATAAGTATTTCTTTCTATTTTAATAATATAATATTTAAAATATAATAATTTAGTCATGACTGATTGAATCATGATCAGATCATTGAATGATAAATCAATATCTTGATTCAATTTTCATAACATTATATCAACTACTACCCATGTATATGTAAAATATTAAAATATAGGATTTTAATACTAAGTAATGAAAATAAAAAAAATTAATAATACCAAAAACAAGCGAAAAAAATATGTTAAAAATTTTACATATTTCATCACCAAATTGATGCTCCGAAGCCAAACGGCATACTCGTACGGTCAACCCAATCTCTCCTTCTTGAGTCGTGACACGTGCTATCTCTTCTTCCCCGTCGTCGTCGTCGTCCTCTTCTCATCTTCCCGTCTTACTTACATAAAATCAAAATTGATTCCGTGTGTGGACGGGGATCTAAAATGGAAACTCCACTTGCTCTCCCCCCACCCCCGCCCCTATAAATACCTCGTTCTTCAACACCTTTTCTCACTCACCCTACCATGGATGTCATCTCCTTCTTCTTCTCCTTCTTCGCTCTCTCTGTTCTTTTCTTCTTCTTCTTCTTCTTCTTCTTTCTCTGCAAATCCTTCTCCTTCAACCTCCCCACTTTGCCTCTCCCTCCAGGTACTATGGGTTGGCCTTACATCGGCGAAACCTTTCAACTTTACTCTCAAGATCCCAACCTCTTCTTCGCCTCCAAAATCAGCAGGTTCTTATTACTTGTTATCTTCTTCTGATTCTGAAACTCATTCACTAATTCTCATCATGGCTTGCTCTGTTTTACTTCTTTTCTTCCCTTCACAGGTACGGCTCTATTTTCAAGTCCCACATTCTGGGTTATCCTTGCATCATGATTTCAAGCCCCGAAGCTGTGAAATTCGTGCTCAACAAAGCTGATCTCTTTAAGCCAACTTTCCCTGCAAGTAAAGAGAGGATTCTGGGCAAGCACGCTCTCATGTTTCACCAAGGAGAGTACCATTCTAAGCTCAGAAGACTCGTTCTTCGTACCTTCATGCCTGAAACTATTAAACACATCGTCCCCAACATCGAGACCATCGCCATAGCTTGCCTCCGTTCCTGGGAAAACCGAGAGATCACCACCTTCCTAGAAATGAAGACTGTAAGTCACGCCAACGCAAAACAGAGCAAGCTAAAGGCAAATCCTCTGTTTCACTGACGGTATTTTTATTATTTGTTTTAGTTCACCTTCAATGTGGCTCTGCTTTCCATCTTGGGAAAAGAGGAGGGAGGGTACGGGGAGGATCTTAAACGGTGTTACTACATTCTGGAGAAAGCGTACAACTCGATGCCGGTGAATCTGCCGGGCACTCTGTTTCACAAGGCAATGAAAGCGAGGAAGGAGCTGGGTGAGACACTGAGTCGAATTATGGCGAATAGGAAGAGGGAGAAGAAGACGGAAGAGAAGAAAGACTTGTTGGGGTGGTTGATGGAGGAGAAAGCAGGGCTCACTGACGAGCAGATTGCAGATAACGTTATCGGCGTCATTTTCGCAGCTCGGGACACGACGGCGAGTGTGCTTACGTGGATAGTCAAGTACCTCGCTGAGAATCCCTCGGTTCTACGAGCAGTGACTGTAAGTATCTCTTGCAGTAATTCATGATACTGTCTGAACATGGAATATTCGAAAGTTCGAATCTGTTTTGTTTTACGCTCTTTGCTTCAGCTTTATTAATTTGTTGTTCGGCCCGTATAGTTTTGAGCTAATTTAAATGCAGTCCCTGAGTTTTGATTATTGCAACTCAATCCTGTAATTTTAATCCAATTAAAATTTAATTTTTAAATTTTAACTTAGTACAACTTAATCTTTACGGTTTTAATAATTCAAAATGTTGGTCTCTGTAATTTAAAAAATAAAATTATATTTTTTTGTTAAAAAATGTAAGATATTTTAATCAAACCTCATCCCTCAATAAGATAGTTATCTACTTTCAAACTAACCTTATCTTTTTATATTTATCTCTATTAAACTCTCTATAATAAATATAAAGTCATTCATTAATAAGGACACTTACAAAAAAAGACAATGATTACACCTCAAAAGACTAACAATGTCTTACATTTTTTAACATTTAACTTCTTAAATTATATTTTTGAATGGAGGGAGTAAAGATTGCAATTATTTGTAAAATTTTAAATGATTAAAACTATAGAAATTGAGAGTTGTGTTAAAATTCAGAGACTCACTTTTTTCTAAATGAAAGCTATAGCGGTAGCACTGACATAAAATTAGGAATTAAGTTATAATTAAATCATGATTATAGGGATAAAATATTAATTTTTATTTAATTATAGTTTTTTCTTTAATTATAGTTGGCTTGGCTAGGAGTACCAAGGGATTTGGATATTCCAATTTTATATTTTTAAATTTTAAAAAGTATTTATTATTATTATTATTATTATTATTATTATTATTATTAAAAGAATCTTTAAAAATCTGTTGTGAGGATCTCAGTGAATATATATATATATATATATATCAAAGCTAACATAGATTGGGAACTTCATTTATCCCATGCAACGCAAGACAGCAAAATTAATTGATTAAAATTTGGCTAAACAATCAAAAGTCAAAATCTAAACGGGCAAAAAAGTTAATCATAATTAATTATTATATATATAATCACTCTTTTTTATTAAAATTAGAAAATTAATCCATAATTGTTTTATATTAGTCGATTTATTTGTGGTATTACATGAAGCTTTTATTACAATCAAGTCAATAAATTAAAATATAATATTTGAAATCAGCTGAATAATGAGTCCGAGATTGTACTACAGGAGGAGCAACGGAGGATAATGAAGAAGAAGGAAGAAAGTGGAGAAGGGAAGGCTCTGAATTGGGAAGATGTCAAGAACATGGCCTTAACTTCAAGGGTCATTCAGGAGACTCTTAGAATTGCCACCATTTTGTCCTTTACTTTCAGAGAAGCTGTCCAAGATGTTCAATACCAAGGTTAGTATTATTTGAAAGCCTGACATAATATATTTTCTATGTTCTCTCAACTAAAAACCAATATAAAAATTTGAATGTATAGCCAGTGGCCTAATGCTGCAATAACATCGTGCCCCATTCTTCAGGGGTTACAAATGTTCTTGAATCAATATAAAAAGTCTCATTACATAAAGGTAAGTTTAATTATTAATATACTCCATCTTGTCTTATTTATAGGGTGGAAGAAATTTTTTTTTTGTTCTATTTATAAGTTACATTATTAAATTTTCATCATAAATAAATTATTCATTTTACTTTCCATGAGATGTAGGAGAAAGAAAATATGATATTAAAGTATATATATTAAATAGAAATAACATTGAAAACTTCTTAAATTTTTTAAACAAAGTTAATGAGTTTTAAGATTTTTTTAAATTTTGATATAATATGTTAAAATAACTTATAAGTAAAATTAAAAAATATAATAAAGAAACATTTAAAAAAAAAAAGAATGCATCAACTCTGGGATTTGAACTTTTGAATTAAGAGGTGATGCTCTTCCATCATGCTTTTCCATTTGCTCTCTTCTTTTTTGTTTTAGGTGATTACTTCAATTTCCTTTCAGATAAAAATTGAATGTATATGAAATTGATTTGGTCAGGATTCTTGATCCCAAGAGGGTGGAAAGTTTTGCCCCTCTTCAGAAACATACACCACAGTGCAGACAACTTCAATGAGCCAGACAAGTTTGATCCTTCTAGATTTGAAGTAATTAACAACGATATGGCTTTTATTTTTGTTGCAACTGCATATACTTTTACTAGAATCTCGATTCCATTCTTTTTTGGTACAATAGGTTTCTCCAAAGCCCGATACTTATCTGCCATTTGGGAATGGGACCCATGCATGTCCAGGGAATGAACTTGCTAAGTTGGAGATCTTGGTGCTTCTCCACCACCTAGTCGCCAATTACAGGTTCCTCAACTTCCCCTAATTGTCACAATCAATGCTCATTTTTATCATATAATGGAAATCTGGATTAATCCAATTAGTTAAACAGGTAATTAAACAGATAAAATAATATTTTGATTAGTTTAATAAAATATTTTATTTATAATTGATTCAACTATAATTTTGATCATCGATTATCAAACCAGTGCCTTAATTGGTTTAATAATTGATTCAATTTTTAATATCTCAATTTTTACAATAATATAAATGCAATGTTTCTTTTATATTCATGCATGTGTTTAAATATTTGAGAGTGATTAAAGTGTGGGCATATATATATATATATATATATATTATGCAGGTGGTCCCTGGAGGGAGCACAAAATGGGATTCAATATGGGCCATTTGCACTCCCCGACGATGGCTTGCCCATCAGATTGTTTCCCAAGAAGCAGATTCCCCACTAAGATTATTTCAAATTTCTATATATATATATATATATATATATAAATCAACGGCCTCAAATAATTATCTCCCAAATTGGTTCCAGATGGTGAAGATGAATCATCAACAGTTCAACACCACCACCAAAGGCAACTGTATATAGCAGAATAGTATTCATGAAGCCTGAAAATTTCAGATTTCAGAGTATTCAATTTGTAAAATGTTTGCATTGTTTAATTGAAAAAATTAATGGAATGAAAAACTAAGTAACAATTATCACATATTTTCACTGTTCATCCCACCCTTCAAAATCTACGCAAGTTTTTTAGTGAGATGCATGAAATATCATTTGCTAATAGTAGATATTAATTTCTATTAAGATAGTGAGAGTATGATAAACCTTTTTAAATTATAGCTGTTCCGTACGCTAAGGTTACTAAGTAAACTCTCAACCGCTTTGGTGTATGAGATTATCAATCATGTAATCCTAAATCGATAACGTTTACAGGAATTTTACAATTAAGAATTGAAGAGGATGACAGTGATGTCACCAAATTACTATTATTACATGTTCTGACACCCAATTTTGTAACAATACTATTAAACTGCAGATTAAAAATATTCAATTGTTCATTGAAATTATCCACTGCACATGTCAAATTAACTGTCCAATAAATTTTTTTCTAAACATATTTATTGATAGGTCCTTAGTTCCAAGTTTCTCTTAAATTTTTCGGTTGATGTTGATTGTAGCCCATACTTTTCATCATATTTTTTTCGAGACACTTTGATTACAGAGGCTGATTCAGATCGGGAATGTTTTAGGAAAAAATTCATTTAAATATTTTTTTTATAAAATTCATTTAAAATTTTTTGACCACGGTTATTAATAAAAAAGAAGCCCCTTAAATTTTAGAAATTCTCTTTAGACCAAGGACACTAAAGTAAAATTAAAATATAGAGTAAAATTATCTTATTATCTCCCATCCCCTCTAATTCTCCGTTGAAGTTTTTCATTTTTCTACATCAAATTGTTCACTGACTTATAAAAATTTGTTCATTTTTTTATATAAAGTTATTTAGTAATGACACAAATAATTTTTGTAAGTCTTGATATAAATCAATGAACAACTTATTTTATTATGATTAAAGCACTTGAAATAAAATTAAAATTAAGTAATAGCACAAATAACATTTGTAAGTTAATGATCAACTTTATGTCAATGATCAAGTCATTTTATCATGATTATAATATTTAAACTAAAATCAAGATTTAATAATGGCACAAACAATTTTTATAGACCAATGAACAATATCATATCATATAAGGAAATGAATAACTTTAATAAAAAATTAGAGGAAATGTTGAGGGATAATGAGATAATTTCATTCTACATTTTAATTTTACTTAACCTTTGATTTAAAGTGAATTTTCAAAATTTAAAGAGCTTTATTTTTTTTATTAAATATGATTAAGGGTCTCAAATGAAATTTTCCTAATTTCTTAACAATTAGCGCCCACTTGAAAATGACACAGGAAAAGACATCAATTAATAAAAAAAAAAAAGTAAATTTGACAAAAGTTAATAGTCGATAAGCTCAAAGCGCCAGGTTGTTTGAAAATGACAGTTAGAACTTGACAGCAATGTGAAAACATCTAAAATACACTCCCACATTTTCTTAAAAAAAGTTAAGAATTTTTAATTTAAGATCTGAATAAAGTATTACTTATTTTTTTAATAATATTTTTATATAAATCCATTAACAATGAAAGTTAATTTAAGAGAAATTTAAATTTTTTTATTTAAATAAGTGTAAAATTGAAAGTTTATTCTTTTTTTATATAAAATTAATGACTTAACTACTACTTAATTTACATAAAGTGGCTAAAATACCTTATAGCAGGAGATTAGAGAGTAACATGACAGGTGTAGTAGACAATTTCAATGAACAATTACAAATATTTTTCATGATCAATAGATCCTTCTCTCCAAGCATGCTTTTTAATAGGATTTGGATTCTCTCCACTTTCTCTTCATTTCTTATATCATCAAATCATAATTTGAATAGTTTATATTTAATGTTTTATAAAATCGTTGAAAATGATAAGTTATTTAAAAATAAATAACTGTTAAAATTTGGTCAGGGCAGTTTAGAAAAAAACTATTTTAGAAAAAATTAAATATGAACCACTGAAATTTCAAGCTAATAATTGAGATGGAAATTAGAGGGGAAGTGGAGAGGAAGAAACGAGGAGAGACTTCAAGTGCCTGTCCTCCAGTATCCCAAAAGAGAAGAGAAAGATAAGGTGAAAGATGTGCAATGAATCGTCATAAACTAAAGGCTAAAGTTGGCTCTCTAAAGAAATGTAATAATAATGAATTGTGGAGATGAATGGCTCTCATCAGATTGGATATTTTTTTAAAGGGAAGCATGTGTGAGAACATACTTATCATATGAACAATGGGGGCGTAAAAGCTAACGTGGTGACAAGAGAATGAGGAAGATAAAGAAGGAAAAGTGGTCGGAAGAGGTGGTCCTGAATCTTCATTCTGAAATGTAATCACCGCCGGATTTTTTGCTTTGTACTGAGAAATGAGAATGCTGTGTTTTGCGCCATCTCTCTGCTCACTCTAGTGATGATTGAAGAAACCAAAAGCCCTATATTAATAGCCATACATAACAATTCCTTTTGTTTCTAAACCAATTCCATATAACACGAAAACTAGAGTAACTTATTTTGAACAAAGTCATAAGAAGATGAAAACCTTGAGTAATAATTATAGATAATATGAAAATTGTAAGAAGAGGATAAAGAGGGAATATCTCTCTAAAAGTAAAATACCAAACCAAGCCAATTCTACCATGGTTTACCGAAAATCAATCTCTGTTAAAGATGAATGACATGCAGATTGAGGTATTGATCAACAATGCTGAGCCAAAGTTGGCAATATTCGGCATGCGTCAGACTCAACACATTTCCCTGAGGGTCAATATATAAGCAAGCAATAAAGCAGATCATGAAATTGCATTTCAAATGATGAGCTAGAAACCCATCGTATCATACGCTTCGGCACAATTAATAAAAAAGCCCATCAACCCATGGCACCACAAAGACCCAATGTCACTGTCACACGCGTTGATGTTTACACAGGGCAATACTCGGCAATGTTAAGATCTTTGCTTTTCAATACAATAGAAACCAGTTATATCACTGGGCCTTAATAATGATACTATTCACAAGGGATCTCTCCGCTAAGATTTGCCATACTAGGTTACTGCCTTAAATGCGTAGGGCAATGATACCCCAAGAGAACTTCAGTCAATATAACAGAATGTAAACTTAGAGGTTATGTACCGCAGATCCCTTCACGTCAGTTGGCCCCATAAGTTAAATTCCTGCTCCTGAACTGCCAATTAAGCATATATGCAAAAAATGAAAAAGAACCACCATATGTCAGCCAAAAAAAAAAAATCTTAATAGAAAATAAAATTTCGAGGAATTATTTGGCTAACAATGTAACTCGAATCATACCTTCTCAATAGCATCTGATGCACCAGACATCGCTTGCTTGCCTTCTCTAAGGAGCTGCAATTGTGTGCGAATCCTACTATTATGTTCCTCTCCCTGACAAATAGAACAGCGATTAGAGCAGTGGATTATGAGGCCAAAAGACAAGTAAATGACACGTTCAAGGGTCTGCCGTGGCCATCATAACCAGAATCAAGGACATAAGCCAGTTCTAAAATCTTCAAGACCAGTTGTACTTTTGTGACCTAGCTTGGTTCGCTTTGTTCCAAGTTCGAGATATACTCCATTCAGCTCTAGAAACCACTGCTTCGATAATAGTGTTTTATTAACTTGGTGATTTGAATAAAGCGAGCCTTTTGATACGTGGTTGCCTTATAACACCCACCAAGTTGAGGCTGCCAAGACTAAAACCTTTTATTGTGGAAAGCATAACTAAGCATTGGACTCACGATACAGTGCTATTAAAGAGTATCACCTCAATTATGAACTGAAACTTTCATTTCAAGCATCCAGCAGCCAGCAGGAAGGAGAGACTTTGATTGTCCCACTTCCAAATTTAACACCCCCCCCCAAAAAAAAACAAAAACAAAAACAAAAAAGACCTCTTTTGGAAACGAGGGAGAAGGCAAAAACAGTGTCAAAAGGAAACAAGAAAGTGATCCACACAAAATAAAAAAGAACCCCAAAGTGAGCATTTTATCCATTTAGGAAAGTTGGAAGGTAAAAAAACTGAGAAAAAATCATGAAATTTTTGACATAAAAAAATCAGAAACATTCAGTTCAACCAATCACCAATGGTCATGAAACTGCTCATTTTTAATTCAATTTGAGCATACGGTTTGATGAAATAATAGAGGATTCATTAATGCCACACAGCACACTAACCAATTGTATCATACGCATCAACTGTTGGATTTCGTCCTTCTTTGCGTTAGACAGATCCTCAGCTACATCCATTACATTACTCCTGCAATTGTGCCAAAGCTCCTCTACTGAGTTCAAATAATCAACAGATTGGGATGGCAATCAATAATACAAGCAGGAACTTATTGCCAGAAGACCCACAGTAAAAAGTAAAAACAAAGGCTGAGAGAATAGCTACACAGAACCTCAGTGTTGTCTGAATCACTTTTCTCTCAAGCTACACTTACTGTTTCCTAGAATGAGAAGTATATTGATTCATTCAAACAGGACAATCTTATATTAACAATGATAATTAAATACTTTAGAAAAACCACTTAACATGATCTAATCAATCTTGATTCAACTATGGACACATGTATTGCTGATCAAATCAGATAATACCTACTTATTTGAGAACAAAGGATCCAGCTCTTGTTCTTCCACCATTTCCTCTACAGCATCAAGAGTGGCCCCCACCTACAAAAGGGAGAAACATGACAGACTAAGATTGAATATGGGAGCATGCATGCCTGCATACAAACGGTAATTCTGAGAGAGTGTTTGATTTAACAGTCCAGAGCCTAACAATCACAAATGAGCATCACTACTGATATCAACTTCATCCACAATAACCAAAGTACTCTGTAACAATGAATTGACCTGTGTTCCGCACATCAAGATATACCAGGAATTACTATAAAACAACAGGGGCCTCTTATGCATTGCATGAAATTTAATGAACGAACTGCATTGTTCACAGCTTGTGAGCAATGCAGCTAGCTATAAATTTTATATTTCATGTTGATATTGATTTATTGACGATTGATATATTGATGGCATTGATTTAAA